CACACACATATATATATATATATATATACTGCAGTCTCTAATAACAATATTTCATCAATATTATCCAGTTAATAAGGTTTACAATGACGTAACGTACAACACAAAAACCTTGAGCTACAGTAAATAAATCAACATGTGACTCTCACATCTGTTACGGTGGAGTACAGTTACTAGCTACTAGTAATCGTTCACAGAGTCCAACACGTTTCTACCCAAGCAACCAGATGGAATCACTCTGAACATTTATTTACCACTTCAACCGGTACCAAGAGAGGTTGGTTGAAGATGTATACACTAAACAAGTGGTAGCTGAGAAATGAAGCTATAAGAACGGATAGGCAAAGCCAAATGTTGAAACTCATGATCACCAGCATTACCATGTAGCCCATTACAACCTGCACCATGTGTAGAACAGTCTGTATCAGATGGTACCTCAACCTAACGATAAAACAATAATAATATGTAGTTAGTACCTCAATGTTAAGATAAAAACATTAATAATATGTAGTTAGTACCTCAATGTTAAGATAAAACAATAATAATATGTAGTTAGTACCTCAATGTTAAGATAAAACAATAATATGTAGTTAGTACCTCAATGTTAAGATAAAACAATAATAATATGTAGTTAGTACCTCAATGTTAAGATTAAACAATAATATGTAGTTAGTACCTCAATGTTAAGATAAAACAATAATAATATGTAGTTAGTACCTCAATGTTAAGATTAAACAATAATATGTAGCTAAGGTGTCAGAGCTCTTTAAAACTGGGTTTCTTTGATCTTTAAAAATGACTAAGCTTAGACATGTAGGAACTTGTCATTTAGGTGGTAAAACAATATAAAATACCAGAAGAATACATGCATCTTACCAAAGAGAGGTTAGAACATCAAAAAACCGTCTATGTACAAGTGGGGCATCTTCCGATTTGTTAGCTTCAGATTCACGACTACTACATCGGCTCACGGTGGCACTCTCAGACGAGCTTCTCCTTAATCTTTGAGTAAGATAGTGTCGAAGAAGTTTCACTGATTCATAAAAGACAGTGAAAATCGCAACACCAACACATAATCCAACAAATCCTGGGGAGAGGGAGGTATATTACAAAACAATGGCATAAAAGTAATTAATTATATATTCTATCTAATTGGCCCGTATGACTAATAAAACAACTATACCAAAGCAATGATTTGTCAGTTTTCTCTCTTAATTTTTTTTTAATTCATTTGTTTTATGTCTGCTTATATTCAGTATATTTTAATTTTTTTTTTGGGGGGGTAATTTTAACTAATAATAATAATAAAGAATTATACTTACAAGAACCAGAAAATTAAGATTTAAGATAATAACAGTACTTTTAGTTACTAAATATGAAACATTTCTACTTGTTACCTTTTTTGGACGAAAGTTATGTTTTCACCCGTGTGTGTTTGTCAGCAAGATGACTTCAAAATGGTTGAATGGATTTTGACAAAAGTTGGTATGTGTTTTGAATACGACCCAACTTAGAATTGATTAGCTTTTGAAGGGTCAAGGTCACGAAAATAAAAACCCTATCTATTAACATGGGAACCAATTTTTCACACCATTTTTGCTCTGAAACTCAGTCAAAAATGATCTGATTTGGATGAAACCTGGTGGACATATGTAGAGTATCATTCTTCATTGTCCTGCCAAAAAATGGTCTTTGTGTGTTGATAATGACGGACATATGGACACATTTTTTGAATGTTTGTGAGCCAAATATGATCAATGCTGCATGGATGCACTCTTCTCCAGTTCTAAGTGGAACAACAAGTTTCAACAAACAAATTCTACAGGTGCTATTTCAATTAACTCAAAATTATTACCACTTGTTAAGACCAAATCTCAACAACTAAGTTTCAAAAGGCTATAGCAAAATTATTTGTAGAAGTTTTGAAACTTCAGCAATCTCATCTGGTTTTGTAATAAGTTAGACTCAGATAAGGAAATTTTAGAATACAAATCTAGTAGTTTAAATCAACAACAAAAACAGAGAATATGTTGAGTAAAGACGAAACAAAAAATAAAACCAAATATCCGGTGTATTCAGAACAATATAAACAAGTCAAAACATACTTTGGGATGACGTGAACAAACATGGCTAACAATACAAAGAATTAAATTGTGGTGGAATGCTACAAGTTCTTCGAATACCTATAGAATGATAGGTTTCTTTTTGTGAGTGTAAACACTTAAATACACCAGCTCGATTTTCGTTACCTCACTACTATAAAGGATTGGTTTGGTCCACTATGTCATTGGTGGTAGTGTCCAGGGTCACCGATGAGGAGTGGAATTCTCCAAAACTAGTCTGGCTCACAGACACACCACCAATGAAAGAATAGACCATTCCAAGCTTTTACTTATTGTTAAACAAATGTTTAAACAACTCTATTCATTGTTTCACTCAATTTTCTTTTAGAAAGCCTCTTACTGAGTATGATTGTACATTATGATTAGGTACAATACTGATCATTTACTGGCTGATAGGAATACAAATGTTGAGTAAATATTGACTTGTTCATATTGTTTGTCCATGAAGGACAAGACAGCTTTCAAATGGTTGGAAAGTATGTATCTGGATTTCCAATGTAGCACTGAAGCAGCATGTTGGAAGAAGTGTAGTTATCTTTTTTCACCTCCGATTGTTGATCATTCAAGGTCTGAATCTCTTTTTTTTTTCCTTGATCCACTGACGGGATGATCTAAAGTACGAGTGTGGCTAACTAACACTAATAGCTATCATGGTCTCTGCCACCACAATTAACACAAATTAAAGAGCCACAACAAAATATCTTAGTGTCCAATATGCTGACAGTGAAAACATTGAAGAGGGTTTGAATATATGGTCTTGACAATGGTAGATGGGTATGGAGGAGTAAGCATCAAAATGGCCACCACCTGGCTCGGATATTCCATTCTATTGAGTGGCAAGTTGTTGGACAGCTGATAGTCCTTAATAGGAGAGACTAGTAAAAATTTTAACTTAGGGATGTTAAGGGGAATCTTCTCATCAATAACTCCTTTTGAGGAATTCAGGGTACTCAATAGTGATGATCTGTGACTTCAAGGAGTTCACTTTCCTGTGATGTTTCAATGATGACTCCATATTTTAATTTCTTTACTGACTGTGGAAAGCCAGCAAACCTTTCTACATACTTTTGGTTGAAAACAGGAGACATTTAGGAAAGGGATATTTCTAATAATGATTGTAAAATCAGAAATCAAGGTACAGGATCAATTGATGACGGAAACTGTTTCCATAGGAGTTGTTTATTTTTTTACCCCTTGGTGATTGAAATCCCTATAAAAAAAAGAGAAATGTGCTTTTCTGTCACAAAAATCCAACATGTTGAAGACAGTGTACCAACACCAGTACCAGACATAATGTACACAATACACATTGAGGAAATCCAACACAGAGACTCAGTTGACCCAGCCATAATTGATGAACCAACTAACTCTAAGGGAGCCACATAAGGGCCTCTCATTTACTGATAATCAAGGTCAAAGTAGCGTGTTTTATGTACCAGTCTTCTACTTCCCTTTTAGGATTGCCATGCAAGGCAAACACATGATGAATGAAACTTGTGTTTGAGCTAGTAAATCATCAGTCTCAAAGTTCAAGTGTTAGCCAAGGGTTCTGAGTTTAAGCCACCTTCATGAGAATTTCTTAACAAACTGATTTCTTTTTCAAACAAAAGTAGGAAACCAGGATTTTTAAATTTTTGCTTAAAACTAATATAAAATAAACTAATTAACCAGTAGGCTTAAAAATATATTGCAGACCAACAAAGAACAATGCTATCAATTTATCTGTGAACATTATGCCAGACAAAAGAAAATTTTAACGATAAGTTTGATAGTTTTAAAAGCATATATGAATCATAACAAAATGTGAATAATCAATTACTTTCTAATTTTCATAGAAAACAGATGTTAAAATGCTGTTTCCTTTTAAACTTTCATGAGTAAATACAATACGAATGTTTAAAAAAGCTTGAGTTTATAGATCCTTGCGAGAAAAAATTAGAATAGTATTCAATTCTAGTGGAATAAAAAATAGGATCATTTGTTTTAGTTTCTTGTGTATATTTCTAAAGGTATTTTAGAAAATTTAAAATTGTAGATTGATAAAAACAATGCTATATTTAGGTTTCAAATATAAAATCACCAACAAATACAAAACCCGAAAGCAAAATTAATGTACATAAAGTTGCAGGTGATAAGAGCTAGAACTTTTTTAATTCATTGTTCGTTAAAAAACAACAACAAATATGTGCTAGTTAATGGTTCACAAGTTCCATATATACATGCCTGAAAGACCAATCAGAGAAACAAGGAAGAATTAAGTTCCAACTTTTTTTATCATCACTGAAATCCTATAACAATCCTTCAGTTTATCCTCACTATAGAATGAAGAAGGTTTCAGTGAAGCAGAGAAGACAAGCAAAAGTACCTCAGCCATTTAAAATATGTAAACTTATAAAATTAAATCATCATTTTCTGTTTCGGCCTGATGGTTAATTTCACTTTTTAAACTGTTTTGGACCACAAAACACTGAAGAACGTGAAAAATTTATTTTCAATATCTTTTTTTTACAATATGTTTATTTTGTATTTTCTTACCTCCCACCGTTGAAGAACCAAGTCCTTTAAATAACAAGTTTTCAACATGGTATGAAAATTCAAAATACGACCCATGCATGGCCATTTCTGAAACTCTTTAAAATAAGCTGATTGGGAAAGGTGATTTGGAAAATTGAAATTCTAGAGTATACAATGAAATGGCATAGTTCACAAGTATACAGTGTTTTAATGATGTATTACTTTTAATGCCTTCCTAGTGTCTCAGCACCAACTCTGAAGGCTTATAACACATTTATTGAGATACTTGGTGGTGGCCACAGTACAGATAGACCATAGTGTGTAACTTTGTACTTAACAATAAATAAATTAAACATTAGTTTTCACTACTAAACCTTATAATTTTGTTTCCTACACAGACACAGTGAGCAACACGAGATCACTGTACAGTCAGAATATTGCTAATGGCCTCTCTCTCTCTTAAAAAGTTATTTTATAAACTGAAAAATATTGTTTTTAACATTTTCAGCCACAAGGAACTTTTTGAAATTTCAACACATGTAAACTGACTTAATTAGTTAGTAATCACTTAATCTGTATTTTCCAAGAGCCTCAACATTTCTGTAAGTAAACATTTCTATCAATCATCATTCTGTTGTTTTTACCCATCTCTGTAACAAGTTGAAGGCTGAAGGTGACCTGAATATCAAATATCACCAGATCAGGTTTACTGGTTAAACACATCACGTGTTCTATATCTAACACAGAAATAATCACAAAGTTAATAGACAGTTTGCAAACTTACCTCTAGCAGCAAATAACTGGACATTTTTAATGTCTCAGTGGATTATATTATCATACATTTAACTATTAAATAAAAACATGTATGTACAGCAGTATAATAAGTGGAACATATTATTTGAGATTGAACATGTTGTCTACGACAGAGTTACTATGAGCTTAAATATTTTAAATTACAAGAGAGACAATAAGAAAATAATTAATCATACTAAAACATTTAAAAAAACTTACCCTTGAAAGTGCTTTTACCATATTATAAAAACATGCGAGTTTCTTTAGGAGATTAGGCCTAAACAATTTTTCTGTAAAGCAGGTCAAAGTGTCAAGTTTAAAAATGAATAACATAAGATATTTCATTAC